AACCATGTATCAGGTTTGAGTCCAAGTTGCAGTAAAAGCCCCTGTGCACTTTGATCTCACTCCTTCTGTGTTCATGTTAAAAATTCAATTTACGTGGAATATTTTTTATATCTGTATGATAATTGTACAGTTATACAGTACATTAACTAAAAGCCAACATCAGCCACTGAATCTATGTTCTGTGTCATGTTTGGTAAATTTTAGTAAACTGGCCTTATTAAAATGAGTAGGTATTGGTCAGATGTGACCAATCCAAGTTGATACTTTTTCTGAGACACAGTCACTCTAAAATGGAAGAGTGTCGTTCCAAAATGTGATACACATTTGGTGCAAAATAAAAAACCCTTGTAGTAAATGGCATTGCGTATCACAGAAAAAGCCCTGTGCAGAATGTTTTTTTTTTTTAATTTTGCTGTGCTTGTTTGAATATAAAGTACTTGTTAAAAATCTGCAATTACAATTTGCAGTTGTAATGACATATCAAATGAGGTGTACATTTTAAATTGAAGAAGAAAAAGTATTGGTATTGGCTGATATCTTAAATGTCAGGTATCAGAAGAGAAAATACTCGAGTGAAAATGGTAACTTTACAAGAGAAGTAAAAAAAAAGGAGGTTCTTAACTTTTAATGTAAGTTAATGTAATAAGTTTTATTACAAATAATTTTGAAACATTTTTATTGATCCATTCATTATCATATGGGCAGATTTCAAATGATGTCAAAAAACTGAAAAGGACTGCAATAGAGTTTTGTCCTGATAATTATGATGAGTTATATTAAATTGTACTGAATTTGTCATACAAATCAGTTTATCAGTAGTACAATTATGTGAATGTAGCTAAGTCACCCAGTCTTTTAGTCAGCCAGTGTGAAGTAGAGTAGTTTCAGATGCTAAAATAAGCTAAATGAGGGAGAGGGAGAGGGAGAGGGAGAGGGAGAGGGAGAGGGAGACGGAGAGAGAGAGAGAGAGAGAGAGAGAGAGAGAGAGAGAGAGAGAGAGAGAGCGCAATCCCAGGCTGGTCCCTAGAGGAGTATGGGTATGGAGAAATGTGCCCACAGTGGCTGGTGGCCACCTGCTCAAAGTCCCAGCATGCTTATCACCCAGGGCAGCAGGCGTGTGGGAGAGCAGGGGAACAAACAGAGATCCTGCCATGATAAACAAGCAGGGAGATTTCCACTGGATCAGGGAAAAGAGAGGCCACATGAACCAGGCCATTCAGTCTTGTGCTGCAGCAGCTTTAGCCTGAAGCCTCTGGGATGTCAAGGGAGGAAAGTAAAATCTGACGGCTCCACAGATAGTTAGCATCTCCCCAGACACTGCAGGAAACTTCCTTTCCCAGGAGCATTTTTATACTTTTTGGTCAATAAATAAAATAAATAAAATGTACTTTTGTATTTAAAATAAATTGTCATTATTAGCTTAATTATAGAAATATATTCTTCAGGATTCTTGGCAATGGATGGCATGTAGCACAGCTGAAATTCAAACCTAAATTCCAGCAGTAGGGCTCAGCATTGCTAAGTAGCCATTGGTTTCAATGCAGTTGCCACCCACAGGCAGGATTAAAAGAGCTTTTTATTGTTTTTCCTATTGTACTCATTATTTGCACTGACTGTAGTTAAAAAGAACAGACAGTATTAACTAATGGGAATTCTCAACCAGTGGAAAAAATCCACCCTCCATGAAATAATGAATGTGTGTCACCCTGGTGGAAAGGAAGTGTACCTAGCAGCAGATGAACAGATGTCCAGCGAAGACAACTCAAAGCTCTTTCGCTGCCCAACAAGCTCATTGAAGTGACTTCAAACCCCACCCGTAGGTTTCCCCACTAGCCGCACTGATCCACATCCAAGAAGTCAAAAAGGTTCATGTAGAATTTCTCTTTTTTCCCCATGTCTTTATGTAAATGTCATTTTGGGCCACATACTTGCAGTCTTTTGTGTGTATGCGTACGTGCGTGTGTGTATGTTTGAATTAATCATTCATTTCATTCGGTTCATTAAGAGGCATTAAAGAAGATTCCATTAATCTGGTCATTAGGGCACTTCAAAAAAAAAAACGAAGCTACTTATTAAAAGCAGTTCCAGCTGTGTACCCTCGTTATTCTCTCTTATCCACAACGCTTAACAATGCTTGTGGCACTCTACCAAAAACATGAGGGGGGAAAAGGACGTCCATGTTTGGCAATTTGGACTCTGTTCCATTATCACTGGTCTGAACTTGCAGGCAGTGATGAATAAATATTGCTGTTGGGTATGTGAAGGAGATCTATTTGCACGTCATTTACATTTGAAACTCGGGCACACGCCTGCCCGTGCTTAATTACCACACATTCATTCTCCTTTTTCCACAATACCTCTCAGTATATTTGTGAAATCGAGTGCAGGACCGTATTAAAGACTCTAAATTTGTATGGAGACGAGCTAAAGGCTAAGCAATTGATCGGCACATTGATGTAGCAATGCCTGAATGACCGTAAAGGTGTTAAATTGGTTTCTTGGAGGATATGCATTTTTCATTATAAGTGCTGAGAGAAAGTTCCTTGTAAAAGCTCTGTGATGATTTTGAAATATTTAAGGAGCCCACCTTGAACAAGGCCACTAAATGAAAGCTTTAGAAAAAAAATTGAATCTAGGCATAGAGGAGGTGTAACAAGAGGAGTTAGAACCACTGGCTACTTCAGCAAACTTACACACAGCTTGTATAATAACAGTCTCATGATTCCAAAGCTTTAAAGGTTGTCTGAAAGCCAGCTCCTACACTGTCTGTTGTGGTTAGGTTTTATTCTCTCATTCAGGGAAACAAAAATCTGTTGTCTCAAGCCACGCATTTGAGACAAGCTGAAGTCAGTAACTATAATTCATTTTGGCAGTCCTCCAGGCATATTTACAACCACTTTCAGCATGGCGCAGTGTAGATAAACATTAACATACTTGTCGTCTTAATTTTATTACACCCTTCATAATCATAACATGTTTTATGATCAGTTGGAAGATTCATTTGAATACACAGCTCTGTTTTCTAAGAATACAACGTTGACCAAGATTTTTGTATCGCCAAGTTAATACTAGAGTGCTTCTATTCAGTGGACCGTACAGCGTTAGTTATGTGCAGAGATTTGATCTGATAGTACTGCGCTGAAACTAAAGCTTTTATGGTGCTGTGGTACACATGGCATACTTTTATTTCTGGATGTAAATAGGCTTAAGCCAAACAGCACATATCGGAGCGAGGCTGAGTTTCACTGGGCTGTGACAGGGCAAAGAGGAAACTGACAGCAAAGAAGCCAGTGGCAGGGGGCCTTAAAAAGGTCAGAGATGCCCTTTGTGTCCGCCTGTCATGTCTCCTGCAGTGTCCCAACCCTAGCAGACATTTGATGATGCAAGCGCGCCTGCTATGTTGGAGATTTGAGGGGAAGGTCTTTGATGAGAACGTTTGTCTTAAAATTTGGAATAAGTGACAGGTTCCTTTGTAGCCTGGGCAAATGCTTGACACACACGACAGACATTTGTAGCAGTCTTCTCTCTGAAGCACAAAAATCTGGAGACAGGACTTTGTTTTAGATACACCTCTTTTCATACTGGTTATTGTACAAGAATTTTATTGTCAAGAACACAAAGGGATGTATTTAAATAAAAAATCAGAAACACCACCCTATATGTTGGAGTTTTTATTAAATGCAAAAATGACAGGCCTTTGGACAAAAATCAAAAGGAATGATGATTCTCTTTGGTCTGCAGCATTGGAGTTTCTGTATTTCTACTTGCCGTATTGATGGTTTAGCTTTTTCGAGAGCTCATCTTAACAGCTGCTTTCGTTGGCCTTGTTATGACTGCACCACTAAAACAATGTGTTAGAAGTCAAAACACTCTGAGACAGAGGTGTTGATGGCGTTAATATCTCTCAAGGCAATAAGATAAATGATTTAGAATAATTTCTAGGCTTTACCTTGAAAACATTAACCTTGAGAGTATTATTTTAATGCCCAGAACGTACTGACTTCCTGCTTTTTTTTTCTAACACCGTGACATTTCTTCATTTGTCATTCTTTATTTTCTTTATTTGGGTCACCTCATATGCTCACAGGCAAATATCAGAAGCCAAACTATTTTCATATTCCTGATAAGATTATCAACAGGACAGTGTTTGTGTAGAGCAAGACTAGGAGGGAAAGGTTTCACTTTTTTCATTTTCCACGTCCCCTGCTCAGTGCGATCATGTCCACCTGTGGCTGCATTGTGTAATCATTGATGTCCTGAGCCATGAGAGTCCAGCAGGAGTGACAATGATGCCTTTGTTCAGCTTCCCCATTGATTCATGTCAACAAGTGTTCCCACAGTTCTAGGAATGGGGAGTCTCACCACTGAGCGCCAATGTAATCACAGGTGATAAACTAAATGGCCCACAGAGTAACACCGCTAGACAAACAAATTAATTAACAACAGGGAGCAGTGGTGGCATGTATACTAAGAGAGGGGGCAGGTGTGTGGCTGTGTTCACAGGACATGGAAACTGTTTTAGAAGGAGAATGAAACCTAGTCTGAACAAGGGAGCAATGATCCATAACCTGTGGGAAGGCACAGAGACTAGTGTAAATATACACTAGAGGTTCACTGTAAGAAAAGCTTGCATCTTCAAAAATTAGAGTGGGAGAAAAATGTTTTTAATCTAACATCAGTTAAAAAAAAATGAAAAGTTTGCTTTTTGAAATGTTATGGGTCCAGTCATCATGAAATATTTATACAAATGACAGCTGGCATTTTCAGATGGTGTAAAAAATAAACACTTTTAAAAACTGACTGACGATTTTTACAGATACAATGTTTACAGTAGATTAAAATCCATGGTCCTGACCAGGAATTCAGAAAGGCACCTCTTCAGTTCGTTCTGTTTTTTATATCGAATCAGGCTTGGAATGCTTACCTTTGGTAAGCTGATGTACTAGAATTAGAAAGTACATGTAACTCACTTTTCTCTGTATTACTCTTCTTCTCTTCAGGTTGACGACCAAATGAAGCTGCTCCAGAACTGCTGGAGCGAGCTGCTCATCCTTGACCACATTTTCCGGCAGGTGATGCATGCCAAAGAGGGCTCCATCCTGCTGGTTACGGGGCAACAGGTGAGTTTCTGTTCCGTAGCCATTCCTGTTACCTGAACACTTCTCCGTCTGCACTCGACCTCCCCATAGAGCTCATCAAACATCTGACCAGTGTGGATCAACATCCTTTAAAGTACTATCGACTGGCTCGGCCTATGCAGTCACCACTCCATTAAAAATAGATTACGCTTATAGGTATAAGCTAATGTGACCAGAATAATCAATTGTGCATTTCTTATCAAGTCTGTGGAGTCCGAATAAATAAAACGGCTTGTTAAGCATGCACAAGTCATCGCGGCGGTCTAAGAGAAAAGAGGGAGAGAGGTGGGAAGAAGCCGTGATTTACTCTGCTGGTCTCTGCGGAACAGCGCTGGTGGATGCCTCAGGCTTTGCTGTAGTTCTCAATGCAGGGGGTCCTTTCATTCTGTCTAGGGCTCGCACACACACGCAGAGTCACACTCAAAATGTTTAAATTGCTCATTATGAATATGCTTCTTAGCACTATCCGTCTGTCAGTAGAATGTAAGCTTTCAATTATTAATCAGAGTTTTTCCCTCCCCTTTCTGAAATGTGAACTTCAACAAAATGTTCAACAATAGAGCCATAAATATTAAAGTAAAAGAGGGATTCAGTGAGGAAAAATGTGCAGCCACTAGGCAGACAGCTGTATTTTAGCATTGATAACTGCTATACATTTTGTTGAAATGCTGAAAATTAATCAGTTCTTAGCTTGTGCTCAATATGGCAATTTCCAGTTCAGTTTAATTTCACCTAAAGGATGCGGTGCAGCCAGTAAAGGCACTGCTAATCTAAAGGTGTGCCCTGCTACTGTGGTTCGAGTTTTACATCAGCTGTTGGTTATCAGGGGTGTACTTAGCACTCATTGGCTGAAAGAGTGACAGGGTCACTCTGTTCTCCAGTCAGCTTTGCAGTTGTATGACCACTGTTAAAACTGAATGATTAGCTAGTGTTCTCAATGTCTTCAGCAAAACTGCATGACCAGTCACGTACATCAGTCAGGGTTTGTGCGGCCGTCCAGACTGCTGATGCTGACGTCTTTCAAAAGTTTGGGGTCACCTAACATTCTTTTTGATATTTTAAATGTCTCCTGTTCCTTTTCAGTATAAAAAAATAAAATACCTGCATAACATAAAACAGCCAGCACAAATACTTTGGGTATATTTTTGGATTTATTTTGTTTTAGATTATTGCAAACTAACCAAGGAAACATGCTCATTTATTAAAAACAATTTGATTTAAAACAAGTCAGTACACTTTTTGGTGAGTCGTGTATGTATTGTATAAATAGAGAAGCATTTAATTCATTTGTATTTTAATACAGAAGTATAGACTCTCGTGTGTTGTACTATGAAGTACGAAGGGTTAAACTGAACTATTGTATGTCTCTCACTATAGATTATTGTTAGTGGTTTATTGACAGGTATGAAAGAGTGCCAGCAAAGCTCAGCTGACAGAAGGCTGATCGCTGTGGTGTTAGTGGGGATGCACTGGGTTTTCATTCCATTTTGTCATAATATACACATTATGTCTACAATCTGTCATCAGCTGTTGGCAGTTTGATTTTCAGGTGTTCAGCTCATCTTTATTTTGATATCTTTAAGCTATGCTGTGAGGTTTGTCGGAGTCTCTGTGTTTGATTATTGAGGGCTGCATGGTCACTGGCCTCTGTGTGTTTGACTGGTGAGGGCTGACTGAGAGCAGTGGGCGAGGGGAGAGAGGCGGTGTCTCGTTTGCATATTTTGGCTAATGAACAGCTGGTGTTGAAAGGGCCTGTGGGGAGAAGAGTAGGAAACACACACACTGTTCATTATGTCCTATTATTCTACAGGAGGCCAGGAGTGACAGCCTGGTCACACACACACACATACACATCTGAATTCTTTATTTAGGCCCACAATTTAAAATACCTTATAAAAGAGCCCAAACTTTGTCAAATATATTTTTCATCCAGTCATGCATAATTAAACGACTACAACAGCAATAGTTACTCAGCATTACAAAGAATTTTGTGGACAAACATCTTTTCCAATTATTGAGGAAATCAATATTTTGCATGGGTTACTTTCATTTTTGTGAAAGCAGAGAGTTGAAATCTCTTTGTGACCAATCTGTGTACATCTTGTACACCTACAATTGGTACTAATTGCTGAAGGAGCATTGAGACCATTAACTTACAGGACAGTAAAGAAGCTCATTTTCTTCCGTCCTCATCCTTCCCCCCCTTTCTCTCTCTCTATATGTTGCTCTTTAACCATATTAGATGCAGTTAGTTGAGTGTTCTGCTTTTTCTCCTTCTCCCACTCAAGCATGTGTCGTTGCTCCTCACTGTCATTCACTATGGCAGCAAAGCACTGTGGGGGATTAGCCCCGAAATGTAGCGACACACGACACCGCGTGGACGGCTTTCAAATATGTCACCAGCCCACATCTCTCCCTCCCACTGCTTTGAACATAGCTGCTCTCTCTCTCTCTCTCTCTCCCTCTTTCTCTCTCCTGGGCTCGTGAACACCCAGGCTGCTTGGCCTTCAGAGGAATCCAAATCAGAGATAGGCAGCCCATTTATAATCAGATTTATACAGTGCTTTGTCTTTTGTCAAGATCAAGCAGCGATGGAGCTAGTGTCAGGCAGAGTTAGTGAATATCACTGCATAATGTTTACAAAGTCCTACAGCAAGGTCTCTCTGCATCACACACTTATACAGTTTTTTGTCCCTCTTTTCCCAAAGAAAGTCCCAGAATTCCTCTGAAAGATTTTAAAGAATGTTTAGAATGTTGTGTTTCAGAGATTCTAAAGAAGCTTTTTAAAAGTGGTCTCATGTTTTGTGCCTTTTTGCATATTTCGGATTATTTTAAATTCCTAATACTCTGTTGACGTGTGCGTCTGTGAAACCGCACTTATAACCCTGTAATTGATTACATTTAAACAGAAGGTTAGCGGTAGCTAAGAGACAGTCCATTCATTGATGTTATTTCATGCACAGTTGATTTTATGGAAGTAGGCTGACACCTTTGGGTGAGGAAGGGGTTGGCTTTCAGTGAGTCATAAAAAAGAAAGAAATAACATGCAAAGAAAGAATGATAGAACAGCAGAATGAGGCAGGAAGGCAGAACATACAAGATTGGAGGGGGTGGTGAACTTGCGCTGGTGAGAAATTCTCTAGGCTGGGCTTTAAAAAATTCCGCTCATCATATTTACACAATAAATAAATTCCAATCCGCACGCGCTTTTAATTGCAAATCTAGCTCCAAGGGAGCCCTCCCTGTGCTTAGGAGGCCCGCTGTCTACCTACCTCCAGAAACCCTAGCACAGTCAATTATGGTAATGAATTGTCAATAAATATAAAAATTTAATATGGCCTGCTTACAGTGAGTGGCAGCTAAGGACTTGCCTCCAAGACAAATTTGCTGCTGCTGCAGATATTAAGTGCACCTGAAAGGGGAGGGTTGAGCCCGGTAGCCTGGGGGACCTCCGGGGGCCCCCCGCATGCTCGTGCCTCTCCGGCCCCCCCTTCGTCTGGTGATGGGAACGAGGGTCTGAGGGTCCGCACGCTGGGGACGGAGAAACATGCTGCTCTCCCCTTCTTCATTTTGATGTTGATTATCATTCCACCCTCACTCCTGCACACTGTCCCTGCTGTGCTGAGAGCAGCTGAGCTGTGCTGGATAACACACACATACACAAGGAGAGAGAACGAGAGAGAGAGCAGGGCATAGAGCTGTACCTGCTGTGCTTACCAGTCAGGTGTGCGGTACAGTTTGCAGAGTAGACTTGGGGGCTAGTGTAACAGAGGTGTTGGAGATACACCAAAAAAGTGATGCATTAAACTTCCTTGATTCAAAAATGTAATTCATGTACAAAATAAAATGAATAAAATATATATGATAAACAGAAAGTTTTTATTGTGGACCGATGCCGATATTCGATATTTTTCACATACATATCTGCACATACCAAAGCATAAGCATTTGGTAAAAGTAGAAACTAGATCCACATGGATTAGCACTACAGAGTGTGTAATATGTATGTAATATATTGCTATGGTTGAAAACCTTATATCTTTAAAATGGTAACTTTACAGCAGAAAAAACATACATACTACTTATAATGTAAGTCAGTTGAACCACTCTTTTGTCCAAGTAATTTTGGGCCATTTCTGTTGGAAATTTACACACAATGTAAAGGACAAAAGACATGTTCAAATTATGTCAAAAACTGAAATACGACAAAAATGAAGATACAAGGTTTTGTTCCGACAGCAGTGATAAGAAATATGTATTTGTAGAGGCTTACAGATGCAGTAAAAGAAATAAAATGCAAAAATTTTAGCTCAGTAGCCAAGTGTCACCTAAACATTCAGCTCTTCTGGAGTTCAATAAATACGTCGTCAAATATTGGTTTGAAATATCAGCCAAACCAAACATCTGTCCAATGCTGATATAAGCAAATATTGCCGATACCGACATCATTCCATCATCACCGTGCATGTTTATAATTTTTGTCTTTACCACTTTTTTTACACATTTGAATCAAGTAAATTCAATGCATCACTTTTTTCGGTACTTATTTATTTATCGGAAAGATGCTGTCCCGATTAAAGGAGATTTTGAGCTAGTCTGGTTGTTATTTTGTACTCTAGGAAATCAAAGCTTTTCCTTAAACAAACAGTAAAAAAACTGCAGAGATACATAGAGACCCACTTTTATGAATTATGGAAAATACATTCAGATGTGCTGCCTATGATTCCATCAACTTTAAGCCAAGCTTCTCAGCCTGACTTTCTAAAAAAAGAGCATCACAAATCAATACCCTTGATTTTACAACCTATTCCCCAAGAAACACATGCAAAATGCAGGTTTCAAATATGTTTCTGAAGAAATTAATTCAGATGTATGTACATGTCTCATGTCTGTGCTGTGATTAATATGAAGTTGAGAGCAGCTCTGTTTGTGTGTTCAAGTTGTGTTCAGGGCAGACCACTGTTCCTCACTGACACTGTGTGTATGTGTGTTTGTGTGTGTGTGTGTGTTTGTGTGCTGTTGCCCCTCTTCTTCAGGTGGATTATGCCCTAATTGCCTCCCAAGCTGGGGCTACACTCAACAATCTCCTGAGTCATGCACAGGAGCTGGTGAGCAAACTGCGTTCCCTCCAGCTGGACCAGAGGGAGTTTGTCTGCCTCAAGTTCCTGGTGCTGTTCAGCTTGGGTGAGTACGGAGAAAAGGAAGGGGCAGATAGACGGAGGAGGAGTGGAAGAGATGGGGGGAGGCAGGATCCCTCATGCTCGCTCCCAAGGTTCTTGAGGGACCTTGGGATAATCCGAGAGACGGCACTTCTTTCTCCCCCCACCTCATCCCTGTCTGATAAGCATGCTGCTACAGATGGCTGTTATATGTGCCACTGTCTCACACACTGAGCCTCTGGCTGTAGAGGTCAGCCTTTTGTCACTGTCCAAATCCTGCTTTTAACCCCTAAAATCATAAGGGTCTGTGTGTAGGCCCATACATCGGTTCACTCTTACAACAGCTCTTAAAACTATAATAGTTTTATAGTAGTTACAGAATTGTTTATAATAGATACTATTATATTATAGTATTATAGTAAGTTATAAGCTTAACAGCTGAATAATATTTTAAGGTTAAAGTTTTCTGGAAGGAAAAATTGGGAATGTTCTCAGATATAAACCCCAACCTCCACCTCACTGTGTCTTCTTCAGCTGTTATGCCTCTTTGACTATTTGCTGAACTGTTATTAATATTAAATAATGGGCTGTTACTGTTGTAAGCCCCCTTGAGTGTTAAGCTGTTCGCTATAAGATGCTGCTATTTATGTAACCGCTACACCATATCTGCTGGACTTGTGACTTATAATGAATAATGAATATGAGGGTTGCATAGACAGTTATAGGAGCATGATTTTGGTAGCCTGACACTCACTTCAAAATAAATTTGCAAACAAACGAGCATCAGAATTTCCAAGTTCAGAAACAAGCAAGGACACAAGTTTTCCACTTCTGTTCTAAAACCTAAAGTTACCAGTTAAATACAGAAAATCAAGAAGTCATGAAGTTCCTCAATGACAAACAACCCAAGTTCATCCTGTATTTCTGCACTTCCCCATTCAGTAACCCAAAAGCCATCTGCCCTCCTGGGTTCCTCTCCCTAAGTTTGCTTGCCATCACTCATTAATGAAGTCATTTGAAGTCAAGGTAACTTTCTCAGCCCAGCCCATGAAAGATGCTGGTGTCCATCAATACCAAAATGGAGAAATAGCGGGAGCTTGTGGTTCTCCCAAAAGAAAATACTGGAATATTAATACACTGCTGTGCACGTCAACAGCATTATCATATCACTCTGTCTGCTCGTTCCGGAAAGAGAAGAGACAGAATGTTAGGTGCATATGTGCTTTGGCCTCAGTTGCTTTTGAGCAGCATCATATCACAAAGTGAGCAGCGATCACTTTTAAGCAGTTCCGCAAGGGCCCTCGCTACACCTTGAGTAGGTTCCTTACATCCTTCCCCATCCCTAACAAACTAACAAAGGACCAGAACAGTGGTGATGTTCCTCCTGCCGTAGGTCCAGCCCTCTGAGCCTGATGGGATTTATGTTTGTGGTTTTTTTGTTGTTGCGTGGCGGAGGTTTAGCTGATGGGAGTGGGGATGGACTCCGGCTCTAAATAATTTGGCGGAAACATCATCCATAATGAAACACTCACCTGAGGGGAGTGTATCGCCCCCGGCGCTGCTCCGCGCTAGCGGCTAGCGTCAACCACCTCGTCTGTCTGGCAAAGGGTGAGTAAGAGACTAAGCCTGGAGATTAGAGACTGCACTGATTAATATCATCCTGTGAACGAAGGCTTCTGTGTGTGCCTGCGTGTGTGTGTGTGTGTGTGTATGAGATGATCCTTGCCAGATGCTATTGAGAAGCCAATTAATCAGAGGTTAATGAAATGAAGCATGAAAATACCTTAGTGCTTTATGAATACCTAAGGCAACACAGTTATATCCACTCTCCCTGTCTACATCTGTTCAGCTTAGATTGAGAGTATTTTAATGAGAGAGCCTCTGTGCAGCCCCTTCAAATGTTCTTTTCTGTTTTCTTCACACTTGCTAGATTTCTCACTAAGCAAAAGTCAGCCTTTCTTGCCATGTAAATGAAGGCTGTAGAAAGTTCTAGTGAGCTCGACTCAAGTTCTAGTAAGCCTCAACACTTTGTCCACTCCCCCAACCCTCTGCCCCAACCTCAATCACATCAATTCACTCGAGTGTCTCTTCTCACTCTGTCTAAGCGCAGTCTTCCCTCTCTAGCCCGCTTTTACAAATGAAGCCTTTTAAAGGAAATCAAAGGCACATTTCCCCAGGCCTGACGTGCTATTTCAGGCCCCATAGCTCTAAGCTGCAGCCGTTCTCTGTCAGCTCTCGAGAAGCTCCGTGATCTGTCACTGTCGGCCACCCATGGGAGGGTGGGCTCTTTGTAAAGGTAAGTGTCGATAAAGGGGAGGATGGACATGGTTTGACCCGGGAGCAGCCGCTTGTCTCCTCAGATTTGGGGGGCTGTCGAAAGGAGCGATTGCGCCCAGCAGAAAGCCTCCCACACTCTTTCTTGCGCTGCATCTCTATCGCCCTGTCTCTGTCAGTCTCCATGGGTCGAGTGGATGGAGTGGCTCTCGCTGGAACTGAAGGCTTTATCAATGGGTAAATAATTGCAGCAGGGGCATTGATTTCTTCTGCTATGAAAGAGGCAACGGAGGCTGAGCGATGCTCCGGTGGCAGGGGAATGGCTAGTCGAGTCTGTTGCTGTTGTGACGATGCACACCTCAGGTGTCATAGGGCCCACTTTCTGCTATCAGACAGTGTGTTTTAGGAAAGTAAAGAAGCAAATGAGAACTTCACGTAAGGTGCTTTCTTTTTAAAAAATATTTGGCTACTGAGTTGTCAGACCCTCTTACAGATAAAGGTTCTTTGGAACAATACCACATTACTTTTTTTAATTCTAAAGAACCAAAAGAAACCAAAAGTGGTTCAGTGGCATCCTTCAAATAGCACTTTCGTGCTTCTCTTCCTCATGCATGCTGGAACAAAACCTTCTTCAAAACTTTATAGGAGAAGGGAAAAAATGCTTAACATCTAATGGAAATCAGTGTAAATGTATTTTTCCATGTAATTTTGAACCATTTCTGTTGGTCTATTCATCATGAAATTTTAACCAAATGCACAGTCTGATAAGATTGTTAAAATTGTGCAAAAAGAAAAAAAATGAAGATTACATATTCTTCTAGATTAGAAAGAAAAGTCGCTCACAATAGTGTTCCCTTAGGACAGTGGTTCCCAACCCTGGTCCTGGAGTTTCTCTTGCCCTCTATTTTTTTTCCTGATTCACCACACCTAATCTAATTAATCAGTTAATTAACAAAGCCTTTATGAGTAGATGTTTTAAAGCAAATGTGCAGGGCTGGAAACCTGTGCATAAGAAGAAGGCATCTGTGGCCACTGAATAACAGCAGCATCCAAAAGAGAGATGGTTCATTAACAACTACTAAAAAAATGTTTCGCTTCAAGATTTACACTATTAGCTGCAAGATGTTTTGAGAGGGAAAGTGGCATCATTTCCCAAATTTCTTGAAATGAACCAAATAATTTGGAAGTAGTCACAATTGATCAACTTTTAAGGGCTGCGACGGTTCAATATTTATGCCTTTGAGACCGCCATGCATAAAACTACTGCAACGTCTTATTTACATGCAATAGGGGCAGGTTTTTCTCGTGAGCCAAGCAGTTTGCTTGTATTTATTGTAATGTTATACAATGTTTTTACACCCTAAAAACACTCTTTCTGCCAAGATAAATAGTTTTAAACAATTTTCTTAGTTTCTTAAGGCTTTTACACATTACAGTGCACAGTCAATAACTACACTGCTTTTTAGGATACTGGCATGATTGTTGTGAGATATAATTGCTCTGATCTCAGTAGAAGTTTCTGCACAGAGTTCTGGTATCAGACACTGGTATCAGAATTGTAGTCAGTATATATTGTCTGGTATAATGAATCTTGAGCGTTTTTTTCTTTGTGGTGTTCCAAGCATCCCCACGTACCTGTGAGCTGCTGGATTTCTCCTGCCAGCCTCCAGAATAAGCATAGCATAAACTCAGGTTGTTCATTTAGAGAGAAGATTTTCTTCTTTTCCTCTTTGAAGAGGAAAAAAGAAAGTTCCCAGATAGGTAGGGTCTAATTAAGCGGCCTTGCCTTATTTCCCTGGCCAAAATCAATGCGCCTACCCTTGTGCAAAGAGGGAGGGATCAGTAATGCATGCGTGTCGGCTCATAACTGGCGCAAATATTAATTTCCTGAAACGGACCAAATAATTTGGAAGTAGTCGGGATTGATTAACATTCGAGGGCTGCGACGGTTCAATATTTATGCCTTTGAGACCCCCGGCTGGGCCCAAATAATGGTGCATAAAACTACTGCTATGTCTTAATTAAATGCAAGATAATAGGGGCAGGTTTTTCTTGTGAGCCAAGCAGTTTGACACTGACGGGCAGTAAGTCATTTGGAAGATGTGAGGCCTAGGCCCAATCAATACACATATAAAGCAAGTTTGTGTGTATGTATGTGTGAGAGAGAGGGAGCGAGATAGAGAGAGGGAGCGAGACAGGCCATAGTCGGAAAACGTATGCGCGCCTACCTGGAAAAAGGTTTATGGCAGAATCTGAGGATAAAAAGTAAAGCTTACATTTATTTTCAATGATTTGTGACAATATGCAGCAGCCCTCGACTGATCTGACATCTCCGCATTCCTCACCAGTCCGTGCTCTCTCTGTAAGTATTCATTGTTTTGAACTAACACATTCATTTGGATTTCGCTCAAATGTGGAAAAGCCTCCAATCAACCCTGAGTGTTCTGATATTTTACAAATTTTGAGTGGAGGCAGGAGTGGGCCTACGCAATGACCCTAATATTCAGGGCTTGTTTTTATTTTTTTATTTTTCTCACTATCCCTACATTACAGATGCCAGAAATCAAAAGCTTAACCTGGCCACATTGGTAAGAGGCTCTCTGGGAGACGCAGTCCTTATTAGGAGCCCTAAGAGGCTTTCAGACTTTATCAAGCTTTAAAAGCTACAGAGATCTTCCACAGCTTACTATATGGACCAATAGTGCACGCTCCGGTCATTAAAGGGATGTAGGAGGCTAAACTGCAGCACTT